GCCGCCGCCACTACGCCTCCTCTCTGTCTCTCGCTCTCTCGGAAGAATCGGCAGAAGACAGCCGCCACGAATCCCTCTCTCCAACTCCGCCCTCTCCTCTCTCCCTCGATCTCGAACATTCCTCTTTTCCTCTACTACATGCTCTTTGCTCCTCTCCTCTCTGTCATGGGTCATGGCGGCCGCTGTGTGAGATGTGGGAGGGACGGGATGGGTTTTGTCTAGGGTTTCAGTGGGTTGGGCGAGGGTCGTGGGTGAGAAGAGTGTGGGCTTTGTGTGATTTGGGATGGGATGAGAGTTTGGGTTTTGTAGGCCTAGGTTTTGTATGGGCTGAGCTAGGATTTTAGTGGACTGTGGGTAAGAGAGGGGCTTAAGGTTGGGTTGTAATGGGCTATTTCAGAAATCGGTTCGGAAATTGAAACTTCGGTTCTGTTGAAAGAACTCTGGTTTCCGAAATACCCATATTTATCTTCCGAATTTCAAACCGAACACTATTATTTCGGTTTCGGTTCGGGTTTACCGAACCAGATGCCCACCCCTACACCACGGGGAAAAATCCCCCAAATCCCTCCCCCAATCCTCCTTCATTCAATTATGATTTCCATATCCAGGGCCTCCTCTCTTTCAATCGACAAACACAATGGAGAGAGAAGGAATAACAAAACAGCTAGAGCTAGGTTCGCCGACCACTTCGTTCGCCGACCATTTCCACTTCGCCCGCCGACCGCCTTGCTCCAGCTGGTTCCATAGGCGGAGCCCGGAAGATTTGCATCCAACTCTTACTGTTATAAATAGTTTCTTCTATTGAACCTTGATGGAAAAAAAAGATCTTATATTCGAGCTTTATCCCGAAAAACCCAGATCTACTTTGTTGCATTTCTGTGCAAATGATAGGGCTGGAAAAATAGACCAGGCCGTTAGAAAAACAGTGGTCCAAACCATACCGCACAGTTTGGTTCGGACCGTAGACCGTTAAATATGGTCTGGTCTGGTCCATGGTCTGTATTATTTAATGTTTTGGTCTCTTGGTCTGGTCTGGTCTAGACCGTGGTTTACCGAACCAAACCGTGGGCCCAACTGACTTGTCAATACGTGTTAACAGCTCATTCAACCACTCTTCCAACTCCCACAATGACATCCAAGTCTCAACCTTAGTTTTGTGAATCTCGTCCATCCTTCATTCACAACCACATTTAACCAAAGAGTAGAGATAATTGTGTCTCGATATGACATTATGTTAATGTTTATGACGTTATGGTGCAAGTTGGGATGCTTTTACTTTGTATCTTTGTTATGTACTAAGATTTAGAGTATCAAAATTATTCATGCATGTTTGGATTAATGATTTAAGGTAAATAACAATTATTTTTCCTTGTCATCGGTTCAATTTTTTGTGTGGTTGACTAAACAAATTATTCATTTTTCATTGAGTGTGGTCTATCTAGACCAGACCAGACCGAACCAGACCGCACATGTGTGGTCTGAACCAGACCGTATAGTCTATGGTATGGTCTGTGATATATACTTTAGCCTCTCGGTCTAGACCATAGACCGTATATATGGTCTGGTCTGGACCAGACTGCACCGTTTCCCAGCCCTAGCAAATGAGCAAAGAAGTGGAAGACTTCACCTACCCTCTTTGTCTGCTTCCTTATTTAGTTTTGTCCCAGAATAATCTCTACTTGGCAAGAGAAAGAATGGGCATGTGAGCCTCAATTTCATCTGTCTAGGGCCAAGACCGTAGAATGAAGCGACGCCAAAGATTTCAGGGACAACGCGATGGAATCCTAAACGCAAGGGAAGCGAGCGTCACGCCGCTATGCCGATTCACTGAGCCGGCGGGGAGGAATTTTTTTCTATTGTACCTCAGATGGCCACCGTCGCTACTGTCGGGAGTGCCTATTGGAGAAGAAGGGCGCCTCAGATATGAAAATAGAAGGAGGCGTCGGCGACGGGGAGGAGGAATCGACGGCGTGGTGGAGAGGAGAATTCGACGACGGGGTGGAGTTGAGGGGAGGAACCCTAGAAATTGAGGGGGAAGGGAAATGAAATGTTTAGTCAGTCCCGTTGGTGGAGCTAGAGATGTATAAAATTTAATATTAATTTTATTTTAATATCTGACATGGCGTCCACGTCGCTTAGTCAGTCTCGTTGGCGCTGATGTGTTTTCCATGTGGCGGACAGATCAGCTATCCGTCCACTTGACTGACAGGGACGTTAACGTCGTTAGATGTTTCAAGGGAAATGGCTAGATTAGTAAGCAATTTTTTAAAAGTGTGGCTATGTCTGTGTATTTTTCAAAAAGTTGCTATATTTGTCAAAAGCGTGAAAGTTATGGTTATGCAGGTGTATTAAGCCTTAATGAAACTGTTAAAGTATCTCACGAAAATGGCTATATTTGTCCAACACCCTTTACAAAATCTAGCTATAAGTGGTATTTCTCCAAATTTTGTTATTATTATCACAAATTCAAAAAAATTGACTATACACGTGTATTTTACCTAAAATTAACCATAAAAATCTTACAAACTTGTCCACAATGTTGTAGTTCAAGTGATTATTGGGTTGAACTCACATGAGCGATGTTTTAGGTTCAATTCCTCCAATCTTTTCAAAAAGACTCTAAGTTCTACCCGAATAATAAAAACATTTGTACGAACTTGGAATATCTCATACACATCCCCAGATTTCAAGTCAATTATAGTTTTGGCACGAACTTACCGTTGAGCTTATTAGGTGATGGAGTTGGTAAAAAGTTTCATGGCCATGCATGGCAGCCGGTAAATAATAACGTGCATGGGTTCGGGAAAAGATTAAACAACAGTTCCACCGGACCCATGGAGGTTTGGAGTCCAGACACCCCTAAATTTGGGAAAAATTATCGAACCCCCGGTAGTAGTTTGAGTCTAAAACAAATAATAGTGGTTTGTGAGATCCAATCCTGAGACACCCTTGTTATTAAATAATATATTTTTCATTAAACTACAACTCATCTCTTGTTATAATTTTAAGACTCAAACTACTATTATTTTTCTCACAAACCACTATTATTTATTTTAGACTCAAACTACTACCGGGGGTTCGATAATTTTTCCCAATCCTGGGACACCCTTGTTATTAGATAATATATTTTTCATTAAACTACAACTCATCTCTTATTATAATTTTAAGATACGTATAATTATAAACATATGAATTTATTTCCAATATAATAACAAAACCTAAAATTAAACACGACTCCTTTATTCAACCAACTCCTTTCAGCTTTGGGTTACATCAATAGCAAGTTTCGAAATTGACTAGGCGATCAGTTTAAGCTGTGGTTTACATCAATATCAAGTTTCGAAATTGACTAGACGATCAGTTTGTGAACGATTGTCTTGTAGGATATACTGAAAGAGATTTGCACTGAGTGCATTTTGCAATATTTTCATTATATGAAAACACGACGTGGGTTTTTGTTGTAACTTGTATTAATCGAATATTTTTTCATTGAATACTAGTTGGATAATTTTCTTATTTAAGAATTATTTAAATATTTTTTTTAATTTTATTTTGAAAGAGGACACGCTACATAAAATTTCTGAGTCCGCCAGTAGTCCCACATATGTATAATACCCATGGTTCAAAAAGGCACGCTTAACCTGACGCCTTTTTGAACCTTGATAATACCATGATAAGAGCAAGAACAGAACAACACCAAAGGATTTGATTTCTTGGTAAAAGATTAAACAAAAAAATTAGGGCAAATCTGTGTTTCATTGATCTCCAACTAATCTTTGTCGTTTTGATGAAGTACTGAACCGAACGTGTTCGTTGGTTGTGTTTTGATGAATGTGATGAGGACGTGTTGATTTAGCTAAAGCTAGCTAGGTTGTAATTTCGGTTTCTCCAGGCATGCAATTATCCCTCACAAAGTTGACTAAAAAGATTCTTTGACGAACAGCAGGGAAAAGAAAAACAGTGTGTTCCTGATCATTCATCATCATCAAGTTTATTAATTATCCTTCCAGTTTATTGTCAAAGTCAAAGACATATATAATAGCAGAGGAATTAGGAATGGTGTTGGTAAGGGAAGATGGGGCGGTTCGATCATAATATACCCCCACGATTCCTCAAATAGACCAATACCAAATCAATTGCCCCTCCTAATTGCCACAAAAATAAGCAATTTGAATTATCGTATGCAAAACTAGTGTATTCCTTTTATCATTAAGCAGCAACGAGTCATTTCAGCACCAAATATCTCGTTAATAAGGTCATTGGCTTAGATTGTCTCGTTCAAATTCATCATCCAAAATACCCATACGTGACAATCCAGTTAATATACGAGGGAATACGAATGGAAAACACTTTTAAGTAGATAAATAGAGAGTAAAGAAGTATCAGTTACTTGAGAGTTGGAGGATCTTGTATTTAGTGGTAGCTACGTTCAATGTAGTCAAAATCGCGTTTTAAAGTTTAAAAACTTACGATTTAACGCTTCTAGGTCACCAAAAAGCTTCTACACATAATTTTTGTTTTTGTAACAAATGTAGTTAACAACTACGCTTTAAAGTTTAAAAGCTTACGGTTTTACGCTTCTAGATCACCAAAACGTTTCTACGTAGAAACGCGCTTTTGACTACATTGGCTACGTTGCGACGAAATATGACCCTAAGTGAAACCTAAAAGTGAGAAGTACAAAGAAATATTAGAGAGCAGTTTAAATATGGTGAGTTAAAAATGGGATGGAACAAGGTCGCGTTGTGCGCTATGTTGAATGTTGGTCGAATAATACTCATGTTAAATGAATTATATGACACATTGAAACAAATGAAATAAATATATGCATGTTGTTGCTTCTCGTATCACCAAACTCCTAGCTACCCACCCCTATATAAAGCCAACCCATTGTCCTGTTTTGGCAATTGCACCCATCCCACTCCTCCTTCTCTGCTAGCATAACTAGCAATCCTTGAGAGAACCAAGTTCCCATCCTTCAAAAAAAAAAATTGAAAACGATGGGAAGGTTTGGTTTCGATGTGGCATTACTCTTCATTCTTGGCCTGGTTTTAGCCAGCAGCATTGGCTCTGCCCATGCTCAATTGAAGATGGGTTTCTACTCCAAGAGCTGCCCAAAAGCAGAGAAGATAGTGCAGGACTATGTCAATCAACACATCCCCAATGTTCCTTCTCTGGCTGCTACTTTCATCAGGATGCACTTCCATGACTGCTTCGTCAGGGTGGGTTTTTCTTAATGTTTCTCCTTTGTTTCGAGACCCTCGAGTAATGGAGCTTAACTGAACTCCTTTGTACAAAAACAGGGCTGTGATGCATCCATCCTTCTGAACACGACTTCAGGGGAGCAAACTGAGAGGCAGTCCCCGCCGAATCTGTCGCTCCGAGGGTTCGACTTCATCGACAGGGTGAAGAGCCTGGTGGAAGCTGCGTGCCCCGGAGTTGTGTCATGTGCTGATGTCCTCACTTTGGTCACCAGGGACTCCATTGTTGCCACAGTAAGCTTAAGCAAAAAAACGAATTTGTTCTGAAATGGAAGCAAAAAATAAACTCCATTTTCCTCACTTTAATTTATTTTGTTTGACAGGGAGGTCCTTCTTGGAAAGTACCCACTGGTCGAAGAGACGGCTTGATCTCCCGATCATCAGAGGCACTCAACAACCTTCCTCCTCCGTTCGGCAACATTAACACTCTCAGAACTATGTTCGCCAGCCAAGGACTCGATTTGACAGACCTCGTACTGCTCTCTGGTAATGCTACGTGCGACTATGTGTATACATTGTGACTCTGTTTACACATTGTGACTCTGTTTAACCGTGAAATTGCACGATTATAAAAAAAAAAAAAAAATTTGAAATTACATTGACATACATTCATCAAGAACAATTTTGATCCCTGTAACTCAAGCTGTTCGCGATATTCTCAGGTGCTCACACCATTGGCGTCGCTCACTGCTCGTCCTTCACCAACCGTCTCTACAACTTCACCGGCAGGGGAGACGAGGATCCAGCTCTGGACAGAAACTACGCGGCCAATCTGAAGGCGAGGAAGTGTCGAAGCATCAGCGACACCACGACGAAAGTGGAGATGGACCCTGGAAGCAGGAACACGTTCGACCTTGGCTACTACAACCTCCTGTTGAAGAAGAGAGGGCTGTTCGAGTCGGATGCTGCCCTGACTTCCAACTCTGCTTCACTGCGAGAGGTCAATAAGATTGTAAAGGGCTCTGTTAAGGATTACTTTGCTAGGTTTGGCAAGTCCATGGAGAAAATGGGTCGCATTGGTGTCAAAACTGGCTCCGTTGGTGAAATCAGGAAGCAGTGTGGTCTTGTCAATAGCTAAAGAGTCTTTTTTTTAATTATTAATTATTATTTTTTCTTTTTTGAAGATTATGTTGTTAATTATTGTTGTTGTTGGGTTGTTAATTTATGATGTGCTGAAGAGTGGTGGGTTTTGCCGTTTTTGAGAATTTTTATTCAATTGTTAGTGCTGTAATAATGAGTTGGTTGGTTCTTTTGGTATGGGAGGATTTGTGAACACTTCCAAGGAATAATAAAACTTTGTTACCATTTTAACTTGCTCATCATTTGTTTGTCGGACACATCAGCGACGGATCCAGAACAGGTTAGAGCACTGGGCCGCATTTCAAAAGCGGTGAAGGGGACTGGACCGTAACCCTATAAACATTGAAATATATACCCAAAATCAAAAATTTACAAAGACTATATGAGTTTTGAATTCGGAGAGGGCTGGGTCGTGGCCTGGGCGGCCCCTAGATCCACCGCTGGGACACATTATGGTTTCATTTCACGTTCTGTTTACCCCTACTAATACTATTTTGTCCTTTATATACCTTAAGTACATGAACCAATTTTATTAAGTTCTGGTTTGTTTGATAGGATAATTGGACAACTCGTCGGCATTGACATGGCCAGGATAATAGTTCAATGGAAGATAATCAAACGTAATGTGTGTTCCGATGATGAAGATATTGTCTTGATAAGAGAGAATTCATGGTTCAAAACTTGCTAAGTCCACTTTGAAAATTAGTTATATTTAATGTATATTCATATTTCAAGTGGGGATCGTGCGAAAAAATTATTAAGTGAATGACGATGGGAAATTATTTATTGGCCTTTTTAAGTTAGATGAAACGATTAAGGTATGTGAATAGGAGGAATTTTACAATGTTATATAGTATTGGTGCTATATGTTTTTGTTTTTATGGTACAATTTGAAATTGTACATTTAAATATTATGATACAACTTTAGATTGTACATATACTTTATGCACAAATTCTTTAATGGTACAAGTTGAACTTGTTGTGATGGTACAACTTCAAGTTGTAAAGTTGTATCATAACATAATGATACAAATTCCTTTATGGTACAACCTAAACTTATACATTTAATGTTATGGTACAACTTCAAGTTATACATTAAAGCACCAATATTATATAGCATAGTAGAAGTGTTCGTTGCAAATGAGTCAAATTGCTCAGGAGCATCTCGGCGTTCAGTTCAAAAAAACTCGTTTGGTACTCAACTTATTTATTAACGAGCTGAGTTTGAAATGAGCCTTTTTTGGCTAGCAAGCTCGACTCAGTGACTTGTTGGACTCAACTCATGAGCTAGCTCGTTTTGAGCTATGAGATGGCTCGATAGTATGGCTAGCGAGCAACCTCAACTTACAACTTATGAGAGCATCGATTAATAGCTTGTCGTCGTCTTGTTAATAACTAATATAATGAACTTTTAGATTATATATCTCACCACATATGATGTTTAAAAATCTGAGCGCATGATCAAACATCTATCATTTATAATTTAAAAGATTAATTATGTATCATAGATTGCTCATATACTAATTACAATTAAATAATATTATATAAACAATTAAAAAATATGAACTAAATTATACAATATCTTAGCTCTCTCGAGAACCAATTGATGATAAGCCAAACTCGAGTAGATCTTGTGAGCTCATTAATGAGCCAAGTTCGAGTCGAGCTCGAGTCAAACACATGCCAAAATTTTAGTAAACAAGTCAAGTTCGAGCTCGAATCGTTTGTTAATGAGTCGAGTTCGGCCTCGAGTCAGAATTCAGTTTGACACGACTCATTTGCAACTCTAGAGTAGAATTGGAAATATTGAAAAGAATAACTCAAATGGGATCGAATACATTTAGAAATAAAATTGAAAGGAAAAATCATAAAATAAAATTATTGAAAAGTTTGTTATTTGTTCAACGGGATGCATTAACTACTACAAAGAAATCTCAATGGTAGATATCCACATCAACTTGATCCACAATAGGTTGTCAACCCACGGGTCGACCAATTGTGTTATTTTTTTTATTTGGTTTGCGAAATACGCATATTTTCCGATTTTCCTTTTCGCCTAACTCAATCTTTGGAATCCTAAGTTGAACATTTGAATATTGATGTTATATAAGTGTGTGTGAATTTTCATCACTATATGTTGGATCTAAGTACGACATGTTATTTTGGTGTAATTTTATATGTTATAACTCATATGTTAGATGAGATTTGATATAACTTATCAGGATTAGTATAATATAATGACTCTTTCCATATCTCCGGACTAATATAATGACTCTCTCAAGTACTTCCCAAATATCTAACATATAATGACTCTTCCCAAATATCGGATTAGCAGCAATGTGGATGGCTGCCATTGTCACTGTAAATAACAGTGGGAGCATCACAAGTAACTCTCATATCACGCAGAAGAGCACGAAGCTAGATGACTTCGCTGACAGTACTAGCCATGGCCCTATACTTAGCTTCGATCGAGGAGCGAGCAACCACGGTCTGCTTCTTGGTGCGCCAAGCGACAGGGGCACCACCAAGAGTAACAAAATACCGAGTCGTCAGACGACGAGTATAATGACATCCACCCCAGTCAGCATCACAGTAGGTAGTTAACTGAAGAGGACCACACAAAGGAAGAAGGATGCCTTGACCCGGGGCATTCTTAAGATACCGAAGAACACGTTCAGCCCCGCAACATGGGCTGAGGTAGGGGCATGCACATACCAAGTGAGAATATTGATGGCGTAGACGATATCCGGATGAGTGACTGTGAGGTACTGGAGTCGTCCAACAAATCGACGAAAGGCGGTGGCATCATCCGCAGACACTAAATCATCGTCTGCCCCAGGCCGAGTCAACTAATGATGATGCTCAATGGGAAAAACCCTCGGGCGGCCACTATAGAGGTCACTATCACGCAGGAGATCCAACGTGTATTTGCGCTAACAAAGTGCTATACCATCATGCGAACGAGCTACCTCGATGTCGAGGAAGTACTTGCTGAATGAAGAGCATCCAAACTACTGAATGAAGCCAAATCATCACCGGAAAGGATCACATTATCGACATAAATAACGGAAACAATATAGGTGCCTTGATGACGGTGAAGAGCATCCAAGTTCTTAACACCAAACTGCTGATGAAGAGCATCCTTAACCTGCTGAATGAAGCCAAATCATCACCGGAAAGGATCACATTATCGACATAAATAACGGAAACAATATAGGTGCCTTGATGACGATGAAGAAACAGAGAATAGTCAGCCCGGACCGACGAAAACCAAGGCCAGTGAGCGTGGTCGCGAACTTAGCGTACCAATTGTGTGAGGCATGCTTAAGCTCATAAATGGACTTTTGAAGACGACAGACTCGCGAGTCACATGGAGCCGCAAATCCCTGAGGAATCTGCATGTAAACTTCTTCATCGAGATCAGCATGCAGGAAAGCATTGTCAACATCGAGTTGATGAACAACCCACTCATGAACAGCAGCAACAGCAAGCAAATAGCAAATGTGGAAGTTGTGATGAAAAGTACATGCCTTATATAAGAAAATATGAAAGTCGTGATGAAAATGGCTACTTGATCAAATGACTTAATTGATTTAATTTGAAAGTAAATGACTTATAAACAAAATGTGGAAGTTATAGAAGGTTTAAACATACAAATTTAAAAGTTGAAAAACTTAATTGACCTGGTGTAAAAGTACATTCCTTATATAAGAAAATATGAAATTTATGATGAAAATGGCTACTTGATCAAATGAAAGTATAAATCTGAAGTAACATATGTACTAATATCAGGAGATATTTCAAATTATCGTCAAAACTCAAACCGGCGACCATGAATGTCAAAGTGGATCGACAAGGTTTAGAGGAAATCATCATCATCAAGTTTAGTTTAATGTCAATGTGTGTTTAGACTTTAGTTCGAGTTAATGTTTATCTTTGTAGTCTCCAAATGATAGCTTGCACATGTTGTCTTGTAGTGCAAAGCTTTTGCCTATTTAAACCCAAGTATGAATGAGAAACAACCAAGATTATAGGGTTTCATTTTCCCCCAACTCAACTTTGTTGTTATGGTATAACGAATGGATTTGGTGGTGGTGCTGATTAGCGGCGCGGTTGGCGAATGGAAAGGAATGGTGGGTTTGGATTTGTGAGATTTGGGTAGGGAATAGATACAACGGAGATTGGAGGAAGAACTGTATTTTTTTTTTTAGGGTTTATGATCTGAAAATTTCAGAACTTGGACATAGTCCTTATTTTGTGGGTAGAAAGTTTTTAGGGTTTTCTTGGATCTAGAGGCTCTGATACCATAACAACAAAGTTGAGTTGGGGGTTGAGGAGTTGAAGAAGAAGAAGAGAAGGTGAAGAGAAGAAGAAGAAGATCAAGATGGGATGCCAACTAGCCAAAGATGCAGTGGTATCACCAGTTGAAGAAGAAGAAGTTTTCATAGCTAGCTAGCCACAGATGCAGCAGCTTTTCAGAAGATGTTTGGGAAGTTAGCTAGCAAGATGCAGCAGCTTCACCATTTGAAGATTGAAGAGAAATTAGCTAGCCAACAGTGCAGCAACATTCTCAAGTTCAGACTGTATTCTCCCCAAGCTTGGTGTGCACATTTTGTGCTCACCCGCTTGCGGGGGGGGTATCAGGAGATATTTCAAGTTATCGTCAAAACTCAAACCGGCGACCATGAATGTCAAAGTGGATCGACAAGGTTTAGAGGAAATCATCATCATCAAGTTTAGTTTAATGTCAATGTGTGTTTAGACTTTAGTTCGAGTTAATGTTTATCTTTGTAGTCTCCAAATGCTAGCTTGCACATGTTGTCTTGTAGTGCAAAGCTTTTGCCTATTTAAACCCAAGTATGAATGAGAAACAACCAAGATTTTAGGGTTTCATTTTCCCCCAACTCAACTTTGTTGTTATGGTATAACGAATGGATTTGGTGGTGGTGCTGATTAGCGGCGCGGTTGGCGAATGGAAAGGAATGGTGGGTTTGGATTTGTGAGATTTGGGTAGGGAATAGATACAACGGAGATTGGAGGAAGAACTGTATTTTTTTTTTTTAGGGTTTATGATCTGAAAATTTCAGATCTTGGACATAGTCCTTATTTTGTGGGTAGAAAGTTTTTAGGGTTTTCTTGGATCTAGAGGCTCTGGTACCATAACAACAAAGTTGAGTTGGGGGTTGAGGAGTTGAAGAAGAAGAAGAGAAGGTGAAGAGAAGAAGAAGAAGATCAAGATGGGATGCCAACTAGCCAAAGATGCAGTGGTATCACCAGTTGAAGAAGAAGAAGTTTTGATAGCTAGCTAGCCACAGATGCAGCAGCTTTTCAGAAGATGTTTGGGAAGTTAGCTAGCAAGATGCAGCAACTTCACCATTTGAAGATTGAAGAGAAGTTAGCTAGCCAACAGTGCAGCAACATTCTCAAGTTCAGACTGTATTCTCTCCAAGCTTGGTGTGCACATTCTGTGCTCACCCGCTTGCGGGGGGTATCAGGAGATATTTCAAGTTATCGTCAAAACTCAAACCGGCGACCATGAATGTCAAAGTGGATCGACAAGGTTTAGAGGAAATCATCATCATCAAGTTTAGTTTAATGTCAATGTGTGTTTAGACTTTAGTTCGAGTTAATGTTTATCTTTGTAGTCTCCAAATGCTAGCTTGCACATGTTGTCTTGTAGTGCAAAGCTTTTGCCTATTTAAACCCAAGTATGAATGAGAAACAACCAAGATTTTAGGGTTTCATTTTCCCCCAACTCAACTTTGTTGTTATGGTATAACGAATGGATTTGGTGGTGGTGCTGATTAGCGGCGCGGTTGGCGAATGGAAAGGAATGGTGGGTTTGGATTTGTGAGATTTGGGTAGGGAATAGATACAACGGAGATTGGAGGAAGAACTGTATTTTTTTTTTTAGGGTTTATGATCTGAAAATTTCAGATCTTGGACATAGTCCTTATTTTGTGGGTAGAAAGTTTTTAGGGTTTTCTTGGATCTAGAGGCTCTGATACCATAACAACAAAGTTGAGTTGGGGGTTGAGGAGTGGAAGAAGAAGAAGAGAAGGTGAAGAGAAGAAGAAGAAGATCAAGATGGGATGCCAACTAGCCAAAGATGCAGTGGTATCACCAGTTGAAGAAGAAGAAGTTTTCATAGCTAGCTAGCCACAGATGCAGCAGCTTTTCAGAAGATGTTTGGGAAGTTAGCTAGCAAGATGCAGCAGCTTCACCATTTGAAGATTGAAGAGAAGTTAGCTAGCCAACAGTGCAGCAACATTCTCAAGTTCAGACTGTATTCTCTCCAAGCTTGGTGTGCACATTCTGTGCTCACCCGCTTGCGGGGGGCCCCCTACTTACTTTCCCCAACCTCCTTCTCTTTTACCCGGTCTGGGGAATTCCAAGCCAAAATCCCCGGCCTTCCACTACTGGTGCCGCCAACTCCCCTGCCTACCTGTCTTCTTCTTAGCCCCGGTCCTGGGGATTAAGCTCGCATCGCCTGATATGATTCCCCGGCCGGAGGTGTTAAATTCCCTGACCGAGGAATGAGGAGATGGACCGGGGAATGGAGGCAGAATACCCCCTCGGTCAAGTGGGTAAAATAACCGACCGGGTTTTTGGACCAAGGCTTCCAGGATTGTCATTTTAGTTACCTTTTTCATTTAGAATTCTTTTCCTATTTGGTTTTTTTATTAGGTTTATTTTCCATACCTATTTAAAGGGTTGTAAGCCACGAATTTTAGGATTTTTATTCAGACTTTGATAATGGAAAAACCATTTTTGATTTATTGAGTTTCACTCGTGGGTTTTGTCCTTGTTTATGGTGGATCTCCAGCATTCGAACGAGCTTTGTATCAATCACGTATTCTCCTTGCTTGTGGTCGAGTTGCTACCCTTTATATTGTTCGAGCCTCTTCCTGATTTGTGTTGAAGTTGCACGACAATTCTGCCCTAAACTTTCACGAGCTCGGGATCTTTATCAGGTGGTGTCACAGCCCCGTTCAAACTCAGTGGCGATTTGAGGTATTTTTATTTCGTTTTTGTTGTTTGCAAAAAAAAAAAATTGTTTGTGATTTTGTGTACTGTTCATGGAGAAAAAAAAGTGAAAACAAAAATTGTTCATCAACCACAAAGCTGAACGTGAAAAAAGGGGAAGAAAGATATATTGTATTTTGGTTGTGTATTTGTGGTTCAAATCAGTGGCTAGGATAAGAAGATCACAAGTTTTCTTCAAACTATGACTGATCCAAAGTATGCGGTAGATGTTAATGTGTTTGTCGAAGACGAAAAGAGGCTAGTCGACACAAATCTTTGGAAGGATATGTAGAAGATGTTGACTGCCCTAGTTCAAGTAACGACCGTCCTCGATAATGAGGAGGAGCAACAGAGTTTGAGTCATGAGGAAGAGGAGGAGGCGAATCTAGAAGCAGAGAAATCATTGATCAAATATCTATAACTATAGAAGGAAGATGGAGATTCATATGAGGTGGTCACAGTGGAAAAGGAGCAGATGATGTATCACGATCCTTTTTATGACGATCTTTCTTGCAGAATCCCACAATTTTGATGACTGTTGCTGCAAAACAAGGAATGACGATTGCTGAGCTAGCATACTAGGTTCGAGACTTTTATGGAGAGAAACATGAATGTAATGTGCATTTTTCTGTGGATGATTGTCTTCTCTGTCAATGGAATTACAAGAACAATAGACAAGAAGACGGTGAACCTTGAACGAGGACTTTAGAGAATTTGGTTTGGAAGCCGGGCTGGAAAGTTTTGAGGGTAAAGCTTTAACAGGGAGGGAATGATATGATTCCCGCCGCTGAAGAACCCCCGGCCGGAGGTGTTAAATTCCCCGACCGGGGAATGAAGAGATGGACCGGGGATTGGACTGGGTGGGCGTGGCAATTTTTGCCACCTTTTTCATTTAGAATTTTTTTTTTTGTGTTTTCATTAGTTTTATTTTCCATACCTATTTAAAGGGTTGTAAGCCACGAATTTTAGGAATTTTATTCAGACTTTGATAATGGAAAAACCCTTTTCGGTTCACTGAGTTTTACTCATGAATTTTGTCTTTGTTTGTGGTGGATCTTCAGCATTCGAGCGAGCTCAGTATCAATCAGCTATTCCCCTTTATTGTAGTCGAATTGCTACCCTTTATATTGTTCGAGCCTCTTCCCCATTTTGATGAAGTTGCACGACAATTCTGCTCTATCCTTTACTTTTCGAGTTGTTGAGAGAAAATCTAAAAAAGCCCTAAAAGATCAAAGTTGCGCGACTGTGACAAAAGAACCTAAACTTTCACGAGCTCGGGATCTTTATCATCGCCCATCTACAATGGTTTTTCCTCAAATTTGCCCCCTCTACTTGAATCACATTAAACTTGCCCCTCTAATTTAATATCATGCTTCCAACTTTGCCCTTTTGCTACATATGCATTCCTAATTCCGTTAGCCATGATTCAACCATGGTTTGACCGGTGGAAAATGTCATTCTTAAAACAAAGTTGATAATTCAACCTTCGCTTATCTGCTTTGTCGACGAACTAGGACATCATCAATTTCTCACACATACATGTGTGTGATCTCATCAAACATGCATAAGCAACAATACTAATAGCAGACATTGTGCATGATCTAGTCAAGCGTATATGAAATTGATATAAGCAAGCAAGAATAATAAATAACATGAATAACCTCATCATAGGTATATTTTAATCAAGGATTATAGGTATAATATGCCGCTCTACTATGACGTGTTATCAAACATGTCCGTCTACTATTTTTTACATCAAACATTCCCATGCACTTTGGAAAAATGATCAAACATGCCATTCTGTTAAAATTTTCATCCAAAAACGGTCAACCGCGATCGAGCCTTGGTTTGAGTGACACAAATGTTTAAAATATCCTAAATAATTTTACTTTAGAATTTTTTTTTTTTGTTCTTTTGTATAGATAAATGCCTCTAATAATTTCACTTTAACGAAACCTAGAGAAGTAAATCAGGGGACAAACTGAATATGTTCCCTCCCATTTGCCAATGTTAGGTCGTCTAAATCTTGGTTCAATCATGTTGATGATTTTTTCAATGTAAATTTTAACAGAAGGGCATGTTTGATCATTTTTCCAAAGTACAGGGACATGTTTGATGAAAAAAATAGTAAAGGGGCATGTTTGATAAATCTAGGGATGGCAATGGGTCGGGTGGGGGCGGGTTTTGCCAAACCCATTCCCAAACCCATGGGTTTATCTGCCAAAAAAACTGATAAAACCGCTGGGTTGGAAAAATGCAAACCCAACCCAACCCGCTGAGTATCTGAAGGTTCATGGGTACCCGTGAGTTTTTTTGGTAAAAATTTTACAATAACAATTAACAATAAACTATCAAAATAAAAATCAAGCATCAATCTCGCCAGATAAACTATTCATACATAAAACACCATTTTAGAAAGTTCGAGCAAATCACACACTATCCATACAAAATGTTTAACATCAATCTAGAAAAATCAAGAAAGTCATAAATTATCCATAAACAACATGATTAATTGAAAATTTCCTCCTCCTTGAGAACTTGAATATTGTCATCTTAGCTTCACTCTCCGCTCCATAATAGCAGCTTCATTCTACACAATTAGGTAGACCAAATTAGAAGATATATCAACATGATGAAGATGAGTTTCGTAAAGAAGATATATTGCTTAGAATATTAGATATACCGGTAACACATGAAGCAAAATCTGGATCTAGATCATCTTTAACAGTGGCATAAGTCATGAGCTTATCAATTATTTCCAAGCCATCAGCAAATAAAAAAACAAGTTAGTAAATAATGGTAACCAACAATATAATAACTCACAGCATGTATTAAAGTTCATATGTGAAATGAAATCAAACAATCAAAGGTTATCAAGCTACCTAGAATGGTTGAATTGAGCAACCAATTTTGAGCACACATCAAAACCACAACAGTTTCTGGGAGAAGTCTGTTGCGACTAGGGATAACTAGTCTTCCATCAGCACTAAAAGCAGTCTCGGAAGCATGTCTCTAGCAATTAATGCTAAAGTTGGATACTTTGACTCATTTGCCTTCCACCACATGTAAAATGTCAAATCCAGCTGTCTTGGGCAAGACTTTCTCCTTGAGGTAGCCATCCAACTCAATTTCAACATCTACACTGCTAGTAGTCAACGATGCTACATACCTATCATATGCTATCATTCTTCCTCCACCTCGACTAATTGAACTCCCATCATGAGACGAATTTCCATCTTGATTCCCATCCACATTTGACTTCTTATAATCCTTCTCCAATTCTACCAACAATTCTCGAACACTCTCAATCCATCCTTGACAATCAAGTTAAGAATATGAGCACAACAACGCATGTGAATTTTAGCCCCAAACCACATCAAATGCTCAGAATTCAAATTATACATGACCGTGTCAACCAATGCATCATTCGTACTACAGTTATCTAGAGTAATTGCAGACAACTTCGTATCAACATTCCACTCAAACAAAGTTTCGATAAGAACCTGAACAAGTGATTTACTAGTATGCGGGCAAGGTACTTGTATGAACCTATAACAAAATATAACAACAAACAACAGGTTAGATGCTATAAGCACAAAAAATGAAGCATGAAAAGAGCAAAAATATGTGCTGCCAGCACACAAAAATCACATAAAACAGCCCAAAAATGACACAAAACAGCC